TTATTATTAAATTAAAATTACAATTAATTTGCCCAGCAATAACTGCATAACTGACGAGCTGCGAGGATAACAAAAGATTAGGATATTTACTCCTCAATTAAAATGTTTTTAAAAAATGGTCTTTTAAAACAGATATATAAAGGTAGGTAGAATGTTACTTCTGTTAGGTTAGAATGTAGGGTAGGACGTACTTGCAAAGTTACTTATAGCTGTCACGGTCGCGTGAAGTGAGATCAAGCGCAGGACGAAGAAGACCTCGCGCCGTAGAAGGACAAAAGATTAGGATATTTACTCCTCAATTAAAATGTTTTTAAAAAATGGTCTTTTAAAACAGGTCTATTATACAATGAATTATAGGCCTATAAGTAAAATAATCAATAAAAATAAATTAAAAAGCTTTAGCCTATTTCAAGCACCGACGTTCAAAAACAACCTGTTTAACACGAAATACGTTTATTCTCATTTTTTTTTCACTGTGTATGGGCCACAATAGAAATATTAAGGGAATAAATTAAAACAGCTATATACCGTTATCTGCATATGTTGAAGTAGATTCGTCTCTCGTTGTCTCTGGGAGAATATGCGGCGTCAGTTGCCGAAAGCTCCATCATTTTCTCCAATTTCTGGTTTTCTTCATTCTGTCACAGATGGAGTTTTGTTTCCTTGCTGCTGTCGCCTCTGGCTTGCTTAGTTGGGGACACTCCATTTCAAGCTCATCGTTGACTTGATTGCACAGATACTATTTAAACTGAACTGGATGATGACATCTCTGAATTCAGTGATGAACTGCATTTAACTGAAAATTTAGTGTTTACTATTGTCATTTTGCATTATTGACACACTATTTTCCTAAATAATGCTGTACAGTTGCTTTGACACAATCTGTATTGCATTCCGTTTTTACTTTCACTTTCTGTATAGTGAATTGACTGAGATTAAGACGTTCACATCATAACTCTTGCACAAAGTTTGCACGTTGCTTGATTGATATCCATTGCAATAAAAATAGTTAAAAGCAAATGTGTCATATTACACATTCATCTTATGTGATATCTAATCTTATGGCTGTTTGAGAAAAAATATTATTATTATTATTACTTATAAGTGGTCTTTGTCTGCTTTAAGTAAAGCAACATAAGTAACACACATGAGTATTTGAAAGCAGCCATCTATCAGTGCATGAGCTTCGTGTATCCAATATATACTGCATTACAAATGGCATAAATGATGCCTTTGTCAAACATATGTGAGGGAAAACACTGAAATACCGTTGCCTGAAAGTACACATTGTCAAGCAAAGTGCACGTTTCTTACAGAGCAACTGTATGCATGTTTATACATTTATTCGATAGTGTGTTTGTGTGTAATTGGCAGAAAACAGAATGTGCTGTGTCTAATTGCACGCAAGTACCATCATGCATATGCAGAGGGGAAAAAAGTCTTTAGGATCATACAGAACATTAACATTAATTCAAAGATGTTCAATTGAATCAGGCAGTGGATTTAAACATTTTATCTTAAAAAAAAAAACATTAGGCTGAATTTTATTCTTTTAGTCATTTTTTTTTAGACCATAACATAGGCTCCCTTAGCTTTTGATCTATACAGTTTGTCTAGTTTATTTTGTAGTCTGGAGTATTCATATTTTATTACTGTCAGATAAAGGTTTTTTAAAAGATGAAAAGGTTAGTTGCGAAAGAGCAACTACTTCTGCTTTGCTATATTACTTCCTTTAGGAATTTACCCATTTTGTAAGCCCCTAGTTTCGCCTATAAGCCTTTGTTTCTGCTCTGTTCCAACAAGTTTTGATTAGTTAATAATTTTTCTGCTTCACCTTTTTATAGTTAATGAAGGAACTGTTTAACTTGCAAAGTGATGCTTTTGAGATTTTGAAGGTATTATTTTGAAAAAAAAACAAAATATGTACTGAAATATGAATAGTTTTGTGGTCAATCATAGGACTGTTGCTAATAGTAGCAAAGTGTCTGAGAGTTGAACAAAAGTCTAACTATGCAGTAAAATGTAAATGAATGTACCTCAGCATTCTTCATACTACAGTACTGTACATTGTATTGTTGGATGAAACCGTTTTACCGCCAATGCAAAGGGGCCTCGGAAGCCTGCTTTCTTCCCTGTCTTCTTGCATTTTCAGTGTGTGGCTAGTTTATTTCTGGCATCCTTGATGCTTTGCATCAAGTTTTTGAGATTTCTGGTTTTCCTTTTCCTTGCACCAGACACTCATCTGCTGAGTAACTGAGTAGGTGAGACTTTACTAAACACATTGATGAGAATTTTTCAGACATCTTCTCCTTGCTATTCCAGAACTTTAACCACTCCTAATTTCATCTCCTTTTATAAGCATCCAGCTCATCACAATTTTCACATATCAAGACAGTTTTCTTTTATCGCGTTACTTCATCCTGTTTTGCAGCAAGCTCACCTTGTTCTTCAAATCTTCATCTTGCTTACCCATATGTCTCGGTCACGCTTACTGAACATGTATTGTCTTTACCTGTTGTCTCCAGAGAGTGCAGGCGGTTGATTATTTAAGTAGCATGTTGATCTGCCAGTCTTGGGTCTTCATGTGGAAATTTTTTTTCTTAGCTTATTTAATGAATTGACTGCCTATCAGTTAAACTTCAACATGTTTGCTATTAAACATTTGTATTGAGTTGATCTACAGTATTTTTAGAGTTTACACCGAAAAAAACCTACATTGACTACAAATATCAAATCTTGCTGACTGGTTAAATTGAGCCACAGCCAAAGTCAGTTTTAAAGTCTGCATGAACCGTAATTTGCAAACGATTTTAGCAGAGCCTGGACAATCCTCCAAGTATTGCTGGATCATATGGCCAAAATTTATATCACGATATATTTCTAAATTTCGGTCGATACGATATAATTCCGATATCGTTATGAACAACAGTAAAAAAAAAAAAAGCCTCAGAAAAACTGCCAAGAACTCCCACAACAGATGTCTGTACCTACAAACTTTTGAAAAATGAATTTGCCAAGTCTCTGAAACCTCCTTCTATAAAACTACACTACCAGTTAAGTTTATGAACAGTAAGATTGTTAAAGTTTTTTTTTAAAGAAGTATTTTCTGCTCATCAAGCCTGCATTTATTTGATCCAAAGAACAGCAAAAACAGTAACATTTTTAAATATTTGTACTATTTAAAATAACTTATCTATTCGAATAACATATTTTAAAATGTAATTTATTCCTGTGATTTCAAAGCTAAATTTTTAGCATCATTACACCAGTCAAATGATCCTTTAGAAATCATTCAAATATTCTGGTTTGCTGCTCAAAAACATTCAGTATTATTTTTGTTATTGTGTTGAAAACAGCTGAGTAGATTTTTTTTTCAGGTTTCTTTGATGAATAGAAAGTTCAGAAGAACATAATTTATCTGAAATAGAAATCCTTTGTAACATTATAAATGTCTTTATCATAGGCCTGGGCAATAAAACGGTATCGATTGCTCGCTGCTGCACGACCGTGTCCCATAGTTGTGTCTAATCTTTTAGATTTTTCATGTACATGTTATAAATAAAGGATTTCTTTAATGTTGTAAATCCCTTGTTCACATTTAAACAGGTTATAATAGTATTCGAGTAGGTTGGACACTAGGTGGTGCGTTGGGGTAATTTTCACTAAGCAATTGTCTACACAACGCAAGGCTGTCTAATTCTAAACTTCAAATATACATTTATTTTTATTTATTTTAATTGCACGGAAAAATATGCAATATGAAAATAATTGAAGACAAAATGTGTTTTACTGAGAAAAAACAAGATTTGTTTTTTAAAAAGCCTTTTTCCAAAAGGTACATCTGGAAAAAGGGGGGTCGTCTTATAATCAGGGTCGTCTTATATTCGGGCCAATACGGTTGTAAAAATATTTAACTATTACTGCTTTTGCTGTAATTTGGATCAAATAAATAAAGGCTTCCTTAAAAACATTAAAATTTTTACTGTTCAAAAACTTTTGACTAGTATATATACTATATATATTTTAGAAAAAAACGGCACAAATAAATTAATGTTCAATTTTACTTGTATTTAGCCTTCATACAAACAAGAAATGTGAAATCACTGTCAAATAAATATAAGACTCTCAGGCTCACCTTAATAATATTAATATCTTTAACTTTAAACAGTAACGTAGGCTGATTATTCTTATAGATTGAAACAAAAGTGCTTCAGCCAGGATAAAGAATATGAAAAATGCTCAGTTGCTGCAGAAAACGTAAAAAGAGTGAGCAACAAAAACATGTTACTGGAGAGGAGCTAATTCTCTGCCAGCAGGAGGCGCTTTAGAGCGGCAATAACAGCGGTTTCCCCGGTAACGGCTGTACACAAAGCAGCGCTGTGCTCATGAACGCTGCTTTATCAGATGAAAATGCCATCGAAACTTTTCTGAAGACAGTCAGTTCCACGATATATATTGATATTGAATTATTGTCCAGCCCTACCTCCAAGGTTGGTTAGCAGAAAAAATATCATAATACTCGAGGATGCTGGGGAGGACACCAGAGACTGTATTTTTTAATGGATGTCATGATGCTGAATAAACTGCTTTTGCGAGAACAGCTTATCACTTAGGGCGTACTCACACTAGGCACAGTTGCCTTGTACCAAACCTGTGCACATTTCGCCCCACTCCCCCAACGACCTGCACTCACACTGCACTTAACGTTCTGGGCCGGAGCCTTACAATGGATCTTTTTCATTAGAAGAAAACAGGAAGAAAAGGGATTTTGCTAATAGATTCTCTCAGGGAATATTCACATATAATTTATATACATAAAACATGATATATGATTAAAAAAAAACAGAAATCCATATAGGCATTGCACTCCCAGAAGAGCTGAAAGTTTGTTCTGTCCTTGAATTTAAAAAGAGATTAAGGGGTGACATAAGATGATGACAGGATTTTCATTTTTGTATTATGTTACATATTGATCATGTGTCTGTCTTCTACAGATGTGACCAGTGTCATGGAATATAATGAAAGACTTGCTCGTTTTCGTCAGGGTCATGTCAACCCATTTGACAAGAGAGAGATCGACAGCAGCACTGAGGGGAAGGATCCTCCAAAACATGGTGTGTCAACTTTTATTAAATATATAAATATATACTCCTCTCCTGAAGGTACAGGCAAATTATTACCACCCTTAAAAATAAAGGTTCTTTATTGGCATTGATGGTCCCATGAAGAACCTTTAACATCCATGTAAGCTTTTTTTGCACAAAAAGGTACTTAAAATGTTTTTCACACAATTTTTTTTTATTTTTATGAACTATTCACTTAAAGGTTATTTTGGGAACCTAAAATGGTTCTTCAATGGCATCACTGCAACAATACCCTTTTAGAAAGTTTACTTTTAAGAGTGAAGTATCAGTATGCAACCACCTATCCAACACTTAACACCAACTTTATAGCAAACTACATAGCAAAGTCGTGGCAAACAACCATCCATAATACCCTAACATTTTGGCAGCATCTTTTGCAGGGTTAAGCCCCACTCATATTTTAGTGTACAGGGATGTGAGACTGTTAGAGAGAACAATAAACTGGAACTAGATGACAGAAGTGGTGACTGTTGTATCACTTCCTGGACTGAACAGCAAATATGCACATTCACAAAAAAAAACACAAAGACTCAGTCTCCCTCTTCAGTTGGCAAATTTGACATTCTCTAAAACAGGTGTTTGTGACAACATGCTGTGCTGTGACATCTATGCAGGTCAGTCCAAAAAGCATCTTATATATACATAATAGAACCGTTTTTTTTAATAATCTTAAATGCTATGCTAACAAACTGACCAAATGTACTTTATTTATTTATTTATTTATTTGAAAAGAAATAGATGAATCCCATGCTTAGACCTTTTGCAGTGTTTTAATAGTTCCTGATTTATTGGTGCAGTGGTGTAATGTAACAAAGTAATAATACTTCGTTACAGTACTTAAGTATTTTTTGGGAGTATCTGTACTTTACTTGAGTTTTTATATTTCAGGCAACTTTTACTTTTACTCCACTACATTTCCTAATTAAAATGTGTACTTTTACTCCGATACATTTTCCCAGAGCATATTCGCTACTTACTACAAAAGTCAGAAGAACACAGACTGCAAGAAAGCAGGTTTGACGAATCAGTGGTCTGGTGTCTGCAAGTTAGTTTAATATGGTAAGTGTTGTTTTAATGATGTGCGATCTGACATTATCAAGTATATCACCAAATTACACACACAGAGTGAACGCACGTGATTTATTAGTCTATTAAAATTAAAAATTCAAGGCATTCTAAATTGTAGACGGCAAAAATGCTTCTGTATGCTTTTTATATTTATATAATTCAATATAGTTAACTTAATATCACACAAAGAGGCGTTTTTCTGCAGATATCAGCATAACAAATTTTATAATCATTTTATACACGTTCAGTAAAGTTAGCAATAAGTGACTTACATTTTAGACATAATATTGCTTGTTTTTGCTCAATTTTGCCAACGAAAATAGTTCCATAAAAAGATCACAGCACTGTTTTGCGTCTTTGAGCAATGGTGTTTACTTATTGAATGAATCAGCTTTTTGAACGAATCGGTTGAATAAATGATTCAGTGATTCACTCATTAACACAGTCAACTGCTTTGTTCCTGAATGAATCAGCCGTTTGAATGAATCGGTTGAATCTCAATGACTCACTCATTAACAAGTCACTTGCTGACTAATTGCTTCTACCAAAGTAATTTTCTGGTAAGATATCTGTACTTTTACTTAAGTATGGCTTTCAGGTACTTTATACACCACTGTATTGGTGTTTCTGCAGTCTTTGATTCTATCAGAGCAATTTAATGAGAGAACATGATATAATTGAAAGCTTTTATTCTATTATTAAAAGTGTCTCCTAGAATAATAAGCATTTTATTTTATTTTTTTTTATTTTTTTTTTTGTTTATGTTTGTTTTCTGTTAATTTATTGCTTACTTTTTTTGAGGTTAGAAGTTTTGAGGCAGATGTCAGTTTCTAGTTGACCACACTTTTTAGGATGATTTCAATCTTGTGGAACAAGTTGAAATTGGTTGCAGTTTTTCAGTTTTCGGTGTATAATAGGGATTTCAATTCTCAATATAATATCGAACCATTTGGTATGACATCCACGGTTCAATACTTGCTTGTGAATTGCAGTTTTTCGGTTTTGCGTTTAAATAATATCCGTTTTATTTCTCTCAGAATTGGCTCTGTGTGTGTGAATTAGCAGCAATTCGCCGTCAAGCAGTTGTTTGTTTTTAGTTCGTTTGAGTTTACCCTCTTTTCCTCACTTTCCTTCGCTTTTAAATAGCTTAAAGCGCCGTACGCATTTTACTTTCACTTTCAAATTAGCATCAATTCTGCGTCAATTGCTTGAATTCAATTCAAGCAACAACAAAATACAACGTAGAACATAGAACTTGTATTACCAAAACGAATAAAAATACACAATGTTATATGCCTAATATAAAATAACAAATAACTTGCACAAAGTTTACGTATACAAACTGAAGATCAGTAAACACTCTGGAACCAAATAAATAAGAAACGTACATTTATTAGCAAAACGCATAAGAAAGCTTGGAGACACGGCATACTTGATGTAAGATATAAAAAAAATCTTACAAAAAAAAATTGTGGGAAAACTTTCTCACCGTCACAACCCTAATGCATATGTGGATTTTCTGCACGAGGGCGCCCTCTAGCGTCCAGTATGAATGAAACACATATTACATGTGTTTATAGTGCTCAATAATGGCAAATCCATCCTGTTTTGGGTAAAAATTGGAAAAATACCTCTGTCAAAAGAAATGTAAAGCAGACATATAATAATCCACGCTTTTTCCAGTGTAAAGAGGCTTACAGAAATTTTTTGCTGTTAATTTGTTGCAAAAAAAAAAAAAAAAAAAAACCTAATGTGCCAAGCTATCAGAACCAAACCGAACTTAAAACCGTGGTTAAAAACCGAGGTACGTATTGAACCGTGGACTAACTCTGTGTGTGTGTGTGTGTGTGTGTGTGTGTCCGTCCGTGAGTTCACATGCTGAGATGAGGAAAAGCCTCCCCGCTTATATCCGAGCATCTTCCCTTGTAATGACATGCAATGATAAGCCTTTCTAAACTTGTTGTCTAACAAAAGAGAACATTATAACTTGTTTTTACTTCACAACATCAGTCGAGTGTTTGAAATAACTTCCTTTTGTGATCTGATGTGGCTTCTTATCACAGAATGAGGCAGAAAATATATTCTATACTGTAATATAAAGGCTATATGATTAGAAATGGTGTACAAATATACTTATTACTTAATCATTATGAAATTACCTGAGATGGCTTGAAGAACACAGATAAACCATATATTGTTGCAGGCGAGTGTTTATTGTCCTTACATTTCATCAATCAAAACATTTAACGTTTTATCTTCTTTTTATTCAGTTACAGCGATAGATGCCTTTATCCATATTAGGGATTTCCTGGAATGTCATCAGGGTTACTTCTATGATGCATATTAGGGTTGCTGCGATAGACGGTGTTGATGGTTTTACCGGTGTGAAGGCGCAATACCGGTTATGTCACTTGCCCACTTGCCAAGACGATGGCAGAAGAGTTTCAAAACAACATGCAAAAGCGCCAGTTTTAAAAATATTTTGGATTTTGAAAAGCCTGTTGACTTTTGGCATTTATCTAAGGTGATATTGGAAGTTTAAAAAAAACAAAAAAAACATTTGTTTCTTATTTATTTGGTTCCACAGTGTTTGCTGATTTTTATTTAAACTGTGTATTTTTTTTATATCTTACATCAAGTATGCCATGTCTCCAAGCTTTCTTATTCGTTTTGCTAATAAATGTACGTTTCTTATTTATTTGGTTCCAGAGTGTTTACTGATCTTCAGTTTGTATACCTAAACTTTGTGCAAGTTATTTGTTAATTTATATTTGGCATATAACATTGTGTATTTTTATTCGTTTTGGTAATACAAGTTCTATGTTCTACGTTGTATTTTGTTGTTGCTTGAATTGAATTCAAGCAACTGACGCAGAATTGCCGCTAATTTGAAAGTGAAAGTAAAATGTGTACGGCGCTTTAAGCTATTTAAAAGCGAAGGAAAGTGAGGAAAAGAGGGTAAACTCAAACGAACTAAAAACAAACAACTGCTTGATGGCGAATTGCTGCTAATTTGAAAATGAAAGTAAAATGCGCACGCCGCTTTTACAAGGTATTTAAAACGGAAGGAAAGCGAGGAAAAGATGGAAAACTAACCCCAATTTGCTGTTAA